CCCAGAGTGCTAGGATTACATGCGTGAGCCACTGTGCCCGGCCTGACATGTTTTCTTATCTGCCTTCTACTACCACTGTGAGAAATCCTTGACTGCATACCTTATTCATCTTAGCACAGCCAGTGCCAAGTACATAGTAGATGCTCATTAAAAGTTTGTTAGCTAAATGGGTAAATGACGACCACAGCTATCCCAGCCTGCCTTTCTCCTGTGGTGACAGCCAGGTAGAGCCAGAGGCAGACTGTCTTTTGGGGAGTGGAAAGAGGAGGGACTTTGGAGTCCGATTGAGTCATATTAGCTCTTGGTTATGAGTGATGTCACCCTGTGCTACTTACTTCTCTGCAGCTGATTTTCTTTAAGGTGCATTGTGTACTACCGGGTCTGCAGGTGGTGTTCAGAAACTGTTAGCCCTCGCTACTGGTGCTATTAAGAAGCTCAACTGGGGGCTGAGGTTGACAGGTACAATTGACTTCTCTGCCCGGGAGCTGCCCCCACAGCTTCCATTATCTGGGCTTTCCTGACTGTTAGGTGTGTGACAGAAGATCAATACTGGCAAGAGATGGATGTGTGTAATCAAACTAACGGAAGTGGACTGAAATCCTTTGGTGTGTGGAGTCATAACAGGAGGAAGGGCCTCAGGGGCACCGGGCAGTCTGAAAAGCCTTGTCCGTAAGCAAGTTCTGCCACCTTTTCATGTCTTCGCCCTCTCCCTCTGAGTTCCAGTCCCTGGTACCTTTCTCCAGACCCTAGAGGCTTTTTGTTCTCTAGCATGATGGTGTGTATCCTCATATTGGCCACAAGTCCAGTGATTATAAAAGGCGAGGTCTCTGGGAAACCCAAGATTTATAGTAGTGAACTTGAAAGTGAGAAACGGGGAAAACAGCCCAGTTATTCCTGACTTTGGCTCCACTGGTGTTTATATTCTTATCTGTGCAAAGCAATACAAATTTATGTTGTCAGCCAGTGACATAAACAGATTTTTCTTTCTCGATGTGAATCTGATAATTACTATGTTGTAACATATCTGACACCACACGAGACAACAGATTTAGGATGTCAGGTTTCCGTGCAACAAAACAGAACAAGTCTTTTGTAGAAAGCATGAACTGCCATTTCAAATATGTTCCCACTTACCTACTGATATGGTCCAAACAGCAATTATTTTCAGAAATGCCTTAGTTCTGGAATTGAAGCGGCTGTGGTGGATGGGGTTCTGGATGGCGACGTAGCGGTCCAGGGAGATGGCGCACAGGTGCATGATGGAGGCCGTGGAGAAGAGCACATCCAGGTAAATCCAGACCGCACAGAGCTTGCTAGGCAGAGGCCACCGGTACCCTGCGATGCAGAAGGCTGGCATCAGTAAGCAGCCTTGTGCCTCCTGGGGCATGTAGGCTATGCCCTGTGACAACAGATTCCATCTCTGGGACAGGCACGGGTGGTGGCAAAGGGTGATACATGATATCTTTCACATTTGAGAAAAAGCTTAATAGCAAATACACTTTGCTATAAGATTGCAATGGCTGCTGAACACAACGTTTGAAAATTTCTAGTGTCTGGAATTACATCAGTGTGGTGTGGTGAACTTGGATTGTCTCTCTTTGGGGATTTTCTCTCTTCTCCTACCTCTCAGCAAAACCGTTTTAAAAAATGATTTATGTCAAAAGTTGTGATGTGTTTTGGGCTCCTCTATTGGAGCACCTCTCACGTTGTCCTGTGGTGATTTATTCACATATCTTTCTCCAGATGGTAGGTCCCTAAGGTTAGTCCCATCTCTTGGCTATTATTATAACCACGCAGTCCCACACAGTGATGGCAATCAGTGGTATTAGTGCACATCACCAGGTGATTAAGAATCCAGATTGGGACTATATCTTTATTTGTAAAAATGGAATATAATTAACTAATCATGTTTTAGGGATTAAACTCAAATTTGGGGTGTGTGGGGAAAAATTGAAGACAATGGTGAAGAACAGAGTGCGTGTCCCTGCTTTGAGCTTTGTTTCAGGACGATAGTTCTCAAACAGCGAGTATCAGAATCTCCCAGATGGGTTCTTAAAACACACACAGCTGGACCCACCACCGGAGGTTCTGATGCGCTTAGGCTGAGAGGCCACAGGCTTTGCATTCCCAGCAAGCTCCCGGATGATGCTCCTGCCGCTGTTCCAGGGATCACACTTCTAGAACCGCTGCTTAGGGTAGTGGTTCTCATCCCTGGCTGCACATTAGAATCAGCTGGAGAGCTTTAGAGGTGGCGCAGCCCAAGCCAGGCCAATTAAACTATCATAGCTGGAGCCGGGGTGGAGGTTAGGAGGTGGTCTCCTAACCTCCGAGTATTTTTAAAGCTCCCCCGACCATTCCAATATAAGAAGCACTGGAGGTCATTCGCTCTATTAGGAAGACAGACTATGCCTTATGGACATAAGTGCTCTGTTTTTGTTTGTTTTGGAGAGGATCAAATGGTTATATAAACATTAATTAGTTTTGCTAACAGTGTTAGCGGTGGTGTTAGATCTGCCTGCATGTGAAAAGGGAAATTATAAAGGCCATTTTTCCTATTATAGATCCACAAAGCTGAATAAACTGTCCATATACAAACGTACTCTCTACCCAAATGCCACCAGAGATATTTAGACAAGCAAAGGGTGGAGGATACAAGCCTAATTTAGAGCCTTTCACTCGCATTATTTGCAAAGAGCTTGAGCTGAAACGAAAGCTTTTTCTTTAGCAGCGCCTGAGGGGGGAAGCCACGCTCTCTGCCTGTTCGGAACTGATGTGGCCTCCCGGAGGGGTTTCTCTGCAAGGAGGCAGCCGGGGCCTTAGTCCGGGTTTCCGCGGCGTGGATAAGCAGGGGGCATTTCCTTGTGGGAGAGCGGGGAGGCGGGAGGACCAGCCCAGCCAGGGGCAGGACTCCGATGGGAACGGACTGCGCGCCGAGAGGCCGCCGCCAGGGGGCGCCCGTGCACGGCGAGCGGGTGGCGCCGGGGTCTCCCCGCCCTCCTGCCGCGGTTCCTGCTCAGTCACCCCCGCCGTCTCCCGCTGGAGTTTGCCCCGAGGGCGGGGTGGAAGGGTTAGGAAGCGAGAACCACCCTAGATGTCTGGAAAATGACAGGAGAATTTAATGAAATCATTCCGCTGTGGCATTTAAATGGTCAAGCGAGGGCTGGACTTGGAATGATCATTATCAGCCCTGTGCCAACGGGCGCCTGCTCTCCCTAGCGCACAGCCTTCCTCCTTTTTCCTCCTTCACACTCTTCAGGGCTAGGTCGTTTTTTTTTTTTTAAATTTTAGCCTCTAAGACTTGGACAGAAAATCTCTTAAAGATAGCTCTCATAAACTGTCCCTAAGCTCTTGGTGACTGCTCATGTGCCTTTGTCAGCAGTCTCAATATTCTCTCTCTTTTAAGGAGAAATCTGGCTGTGTTACTCATAATTTGGAAAGAATATCACATTCTGCTCCCCGCCGAAGCCGTCCCAGTGTTTGCTGACTTGCTGAGAGGTTTGACTGTTTCAAACTCTGTTGAGAAGAAAGCAAGATTAATCTCTTCCCGTTTGTTTCCCACCCTCCTCCAAACCAGTCTGGAGGAGTTCGATGCATATGCATTTTTAAAGAGTTGAGGGTATAATTCAAAGGCACATTTCCAAATTAGCTTCTCTGGACAGGGAACAATTAAAACTGGAGTAATTCATTTATTCTAATGGAGGCTCTGCATATTTTAACATTAAACCCTGCATCACTAATGTTCTCCCTGCAAATGTTCCAAGGTAATTGGGAAGGTTTTACCACTCCATTAGAAGTGCTGAAAACTGTGTGACAAAGACAAAAAACCTGTTCTGTCCTGAAGGCTGGAATATTTGGTTGGGAATATAAAGGAACAAAAATCCAGTGGATTCAGAATGGTGGGTAAGTTATTGCTTTATGACTGTTTTGGTATTGGGGTCTTTGTAATTTCATACATAAAAGATGTACATGTTTTAAAGCAGAAACTCTCCAATGATCCCAGGTAATAGGTTGCCTGATTTTTGTGTGAAATCCCATTTTAAGAGTAAAATTTAAGTAACTAGCATATCACAATAGACTCCAGCCTATAAACAAAGCCTTCTATTGACAGTTTGTCCCCTGAACCCCATCTCATCTGCTGATGACATGCACATGCTCTTTATTAGCAGTGTGGGTACAGCTGGGAGGCTAATGCCACTCACCATACAGGATGGTTAACATGGATACGGGCATGACAAGGAAACCCAGCAGCATATCAGCTATGGCAAGTGACATCAGGAAATAGTTGGTGGCGTTCTGCAGCTTTTTCTCTAGGGACACTGCCATGATGACGAGTATGTTTCCAGCAATGGTTAGAATAATCACTACAGCTGTCAATAAAGCAGACCAGTTTTTTTCCTGTAGATGAAGTAAGGAGAAACACGGTGGTGAGAGGCACCCTTCACAGGAAAGGTTGGTTCGATTTTCGGAGTCTACCGTCCAGTTAAATGCATCAGAAGTGTTAGCTTCTCTGGAGTTAAAGTCATTATTGTAGAGTCTGCTGTCATCATTTAATTGCATTAAGGAGTTCGTAGTGGAGCTCAAAGAAGTATTTTCTTCACAAAGCATATCCATTTCTAAGCCAGAACTTGTAGCAGATGAGGTGTAGAAAGACTCCCAAGTTATAACCGCTGCTCACCATTCACCTTTACGTCCCCACACTCGGTAAGAATGATGGTGCTGTACGTGCTGGGCTCCTTTGGCTGCCTCTTTGTCTCCCATTATTAGAATGAGAGTTAGAGAACTGTGATGGCTCTTTATGTTTCCTTCCTTTGTAATTTTAGGAGAGTCCACTGTTTGGTTTTATTTTTTTTTCCACCAAAGCAAGGGCAAAAAAGCAGAATGAACTTTTAGCATAGTGGTTGCAGAGTTTTGAGCTTTCGGGGAGACAAATGTGGTCCTGGCCAAAGAAGAAAAGTTTTGTAACTACCGGGAATCTCATTTTAGCTATATCTCATTCTGTTGGCTATGTCGATCACACTAGCTTAGCCACAGCAACATTAAAATAGCATGCAATCCGAAACAGTGGGGATGTATGCATTCTACATTAAGAAAGTCAATTAAAAATACACCCAGTGTTAATCCCATAGTAATTGGATGTACTTTGGGTTACAGTTCTCAGTCAGTCTTAGGCTGAACTGCCACAGCTGCTGTCAGGAATTTTAGCTCATATTATGTTGCTTAGTTAACAAAAGGGAAAAAAAAACTCTTAAGTAAAGATTAGCAGACAACTTTCCACACTAGAAATTCTCAATGAAACGATTACATTTTGGCCAAGCATGATTTCAAACC